AGAGGGAGTTGTGTCCAGATCCATTTAGAGAGGAGTAAGGAGGAATGTTTGGCTAATGAAAAGAATCTAATCTTAAAACAATTTAAAACTGTTTTGCAAGTCACAAGTTAGTTTCAAGTCTGTGTGCTCAAGTCCTAACTCAAGTCCCAAGTCACATTTTGAGGCCCAAACAAGTCATAATGCGCTCTCTACCAAATGTAATGTCATTTTAACAACAAAATAATAATGTTAAATTAACAAAAATCATGAATGCATTTTAAAATTTGCATTTATTTGTTAAAACAAGCTTGTTAAAAAACTGAACTGGAAGGCAAAGCTCTCGATTTACTGGCCCATCTACATCCCAACCCTTATCTATGGTCATGAAGTTTGGGTAGTGACCGAAAGAATGAGATCATGGATGCAAGGAGTGAGGTCCCTCCGTAGGGTGGCCTCCTTGGTGCCTCCCATTAGAGCTTTTCCAGGCATGTCCAACTGGTAGGAGGACCCAGGGTGGACCCAGAACTCACTGGAGGAATTCTATATCTCATCTGGGCTGGGAACGCCTCAGGAGGAGCTGAAGAGCGTTGCTGGGGAGAGGGACATCGGGGGAACTCAGCTCAGCCTGCTGTTCCCTGTGACCCATCCCCAGAAGAGCAGATGAGGATGGATGGAAGTTTGTCAAAAAGTCATTTAGATTTTAAGCAGTTAATCAAACATTAGCTCGCTAACTATGTTAGCCTCTCGAGTCTGTGGTTTGTGCATCTTTAAATGTCGAACAAAGACTGAAGTTACTGGTTCTCTGTCTGCAGTTTGCAAGTCACATATTTTACATACTTCAATGTGTTTTTTGTTGACCTACGCATAGCTTTTGTATGCGAATAAAATTATTTTTGGTATTATTTATTCCAACTGGTGCTCAGTTATGTAACCTTAGTTCTTCATGGTTTTCTCCTACAACATGATTGAATGCTGTCAGATGGCTTCAAACAAAGTGGATCTGAGAAATTAAGTGTCAACTGGCTGGGAATGACTAGCGTTAAAGTTAGTTTATTGAGGACATGAAGATAAATTAATTGATTTCTTTTTGAATAATATGTTTTAATCTTTAGGCATGGAGGAAGGTATCATGTACTTTCAAGTCAAAAGGCTCAAGTCTAAGTAAAGTCACGAGTCACCGGTGTTAAAGTTCAAGTCAAGTTGCAAGTCTGTTTATGATTCTGTCAATAGGAGTCTAAAGTCATCAGAATTGTGACTTGAGTCATGTGTCTTGAGTCCTCTGGTACATACACAAACTGATAACTGAATACTTTTAATCATAAAGCCACAGCCTCCAAAAGAGCCACATTAAAGTACTTTTCCCACACAAATAATCTTACTGCTTCTTGTATCATGTTTCCATAAATTAAGTCATAATCTCTGGACATTTTATCTGTTTTTCCACCCCAAATAAAATGCAGGAATGAAAATCAAGTTATATATTTTACTACTGTGTGTCAGCCCAAATCTATATTGAGCTGTTTTCCATCTCCTCCGTCTTATCTGAGGACTGCATGAAATTGTTTTCGTCAGGCAGACCTTGTGAGCCGGCAACCGGACATTATGTAACTCTGTAATTCAATGATTAGTCAGTCGTGTCAGGGGAATAATACGGCAAAGCAATTTCCAACCTCACTGTGTATCACCCATGTAATAAACTTTATGAAAATAGTATGGTTAGTTGTTTTGCCCTTTCTCACACAGTTGTGTAGTTTTTAAGAGCAATATAAGTGCAATGAATAGAAGACAGACAGGATGGGAAGGTGAAATGCGTTCATGAGGAAGTAGTGAAAATGTTTTATTACTACTTTTCCTGCCTTTATAGGTGAGGGATGAGAGCTGACAGGAAATGGGGGGAGATGCATCAAAGATCCCCGGCTGAACTTTCACCAGGGTTTTTGCGATTACATGGTCTTAAGGGTCACAAAGCCACCACGATGACCCCCAGTGAAACTTTTTTAAAAGTCTGGACCTGTGGTTGAATGCATATGTGCACTGATCACTTTTGTTTTTGGCTCATGATCTAACTTTCCTCTGTATATCAGTTAAAGACAGGTCAGAAAACATTCCTCTGACAACACTTTTGGGCAAGGCCAATTAAAAAAACAACTGATGTCACTCGAACATAGGTAAACATCATGACCTGTTTCCATTTCTTCGTGTCATGTGTTGATCTTATGACAAACTGTGCTGAAGTCAAGCACAAGACTTGGTGGCCTTTATTGAAACAGTGACATCTAGTCATCAGGTCATTGCTAATGAGTCACCATCAGGGCATAAAGTAATCAATACACTGCGGGTGAGAAATCAGATAAATGAGTTACTCGAGTGTCTAAAAGTAATAATGTACATGTAGTTTATTTGGAAATACAGTTCCTCTTATCCAAAATGGATTACCAGGTTTACTGATGGTGGGGACGCCTTACGAGCTGAGGTCACACATGAGTCACTGTGGTTATGTATGAGTTAGTATTAGTATAAATTAAGGTGTGCGTTGTGATATCACCTGGGCAGTGTCAAAGAGACATTACAGTCTCCTGATAAGAGGTGTGTCACAGGCTCTAACCTCCTTAACTTCTGTTTCAAACATCTGTACTTTATGTTTGAAAAAGTGAATATTCCTGTGCTGCTTTGGGTCTTAGTTTTATTAAGCAATAACCACTCGTGAAGAAGCAAATTGATCAACACCATTATAGTGTGATGGTAAATATTTTTGATTCTTCCAAAGCAGGACTAGGGGTCTGATTTTAAATGAACATATTCAATAAAAGGGAGGTGCAGTAATCACAGTTTCAGTCTCTGCAGCAAGTCAAATAACATATTTGGAGATGCACCAGGGAGGATACTAGAGATCATATGTGTTTCTCAATTTGTTTCTGATAAACATATTTAACATTCATGTCATTAACATTGGCCGCAAGAATGAAAGTCAAAGGGCAACCTCTAGCCCAGCTGGTAGAGTGAGGGCCCCATATAGGCAAAGTTCTTTGCAGTGACTCAGGTTAGCTTCCAATCTGTGGCCCTTTGCAGCATGTCATCCCTCTGTCTCTCCCCCTTATTGCCTATCTACAGCTGGCCTATCAATAAAGGCTAAAATGCCCAATAAAATAATCTTGAAAAAAAAAAAAAAAGAAAGTCAAAACTGGAGGAAAATGCAGTCGAAGTTATGAAATGCTGCAAATGCCATTGTACAGACGGGAGTGTATGTCTCTTAAGATAGAATATGTTTTTTATTTGTGCGCAACCCTTAGAGGTCACCACAGTCACGGGCCATATGTATGAGTTATTTCCTGTTTCCTGGACATGACTAGATATGAACACTGGCCACAAGAAAAATACTAAACTGTACATTATACTAGAAATTCTGTTTTCATTGCTAGTTGGTTTGGCAGATGGCAAGCCTGTGCTGAACCAGTGTTTACTGTTTATTATGTTACTAATTGAAGATGACTTTGGCAGGCGAAATCCTGAGTTTACTTGCGATCAGAAGTTTGGTTGGTAGTGTTTTCAGCCAGTCCTTACACTGAAAGGGCAAGATGTTTTGATGACTAAAAAGCAGTTGTGAGTTGACCTTCACACATGAGAAGTGGGTTAAATCTGTTTTAGCACATGGCTAAACAGTAATTCAGTGGTATGCATTATGAGTTAATACATCAGATATTCCTCCAGCAACAACAATGCGAGATGATTTTATCAATCTCATATGAGCTGCCTCATGATGTCAGCTTCATTTAGTTCAAGATTTAGTTTATTGTAATTTGTTTATTCTAATTTTTTCTTGAGTGTCGTTATGTTGTCTGTTTTGTAACTAATTTGATTTGTTATCTCAGCAATTTCTTTTTTGGGGTTAATAAAGTAGCCATTTTTATCTATCTCAATGACCTCCACATGTGCACAGGGACAAAACTGATAACACACACACTATTATTAATTTCACTCAAACCTGTTCATTCAAAAACACTGCAGTCATGACTGTTATCTTCGTTAAGCAACGTTGTGCCAAGTCAGCTAGGCTGTGTCTGAACAGGATACTGGCTCGGTAATTTCCCAGAGATAAGTGAATGTGATTCATTCAAAGGTGGTTTTTGACCGCCTCTCGATAGAATTAATGTTTCAGACTTTAATCCTGGATAAAAATGGAATTTTGCAGCAGAGATCAGTAGAGAGCTTACAAAAATGGACAGTTACTTATTTCAGGTGACTTTAGACAACTAAATGGGGCATTGTTAATTTCATGACTGTAGTATCAGCGACAGTTAATGCAAATGCTACCTGTTAGACTGTATTTGTCATTCAGAATCACAATCAAAATGAATTTTAATGGCAGAGTAGCCCTATTCGTCTTTTTTTATTTGATTCTCTTAATGAAGGTACATATACAGCCCAGGCATGAGCTGAGGCTAAAACAAGGACAACACAGCTGCACAGATATGAACACCAATTTATAAGGTACCTAACCTATATGAAATATTCACACAATTGAATTGTAAACAGTACGACAGTATGTAATGCTGCACAGTGCAAAAGGTGCTGGAATAATGATTAATGTAACAGGTTGCTACATGAGGTAGGCTGATATGACAGTACAGATGCTTATATTCATAATGATAGCAGTGGTATTAACATGTTAAAGAACAGTGAGAATTTAAACTACGAAATATATTATACGTGTGGTTATCCGGCGGTGTAATCCCCCAATAATAAGGCTACATCCCTCCAAAACTAACATCTATCGATAGCTGCCGAACGCTTTCCTGCTTCTACTCGGTGGGACGCTAACCGGAAGTGACGACAGCGAGAAAAAAATAGTTTTGGCCACGGAGAATAAATTAAGCTATTTTAAAACTGTTACACCCTCAACGGTTTCACAAGCGGTACATAATATAAATTTTTGTGGTGCCGTTGATTTATAAAAATGTTTTTTGAGCTAACAGGAAACTAGTTTGACCTCCATACCCAGGATGCACTTCGCTCTTGCCATCTTGTCGAGTGGTTGGGTGAAGAGCGGCAGGCAGGAGTTAGCTACCCGTTAGCATACTGCCGCTGTGGTAAAGTGGTTATCTGTCAGCTAGCTGCTAGTAGCAGCTGCCAAAAGTGAGCTGTCCACACGGCGAAAGGCAAAACTTCGCCGACTTTGGGGCATTTTCTCTGTCCACCGCTGGATTATATACTCTTTTTGGAAAGCCAATGGATTTGTTTACATCATGATGTCGCACATGCTGGTACCGAGGTAGGGAAAACTAGCTAACGTTAAAATCAGCTAACTTAGCTAGTCGGCAAGAAACACATATATAGCTGAGAGAGAAGAGTGGGCTGTGAGTCCGGGCCCGCCTCAGACTAAAGTACCGGTGGCAGCTGCTGAACAAGAACTTTGACAAGGGCCTGTTTGCAACTCCGCTGCCCGGACACAAGAAAGGCCGACCGGGTGTCAGAGAGGCCGGCGTGGGAGAACAGCAGTCGCCCGTGTGCTGTGACCGGACACCTCGTTGGGAGTTTCGCAGGGTCTGGCCCAGGTTGTGACACTTTTCTCCGACAAGAGAGAGGAAGAGGAACGCTATGGAAATGTCCTGTGACGGTACGTGTCTGTGTCAAATCCCTCAGCTGTGAATAACTTCGCAAGACATTAGTACAGCACTTTTTATCTGGGGGCAGACAGACTTGACGCAGATAGTCACCATGTCGAAAATGCCGGCGAAGAAGAAAAGTTGTTTCCAGATCACGAGTGTAACGCAGGCTCAGGTGGCGGCCAGCAGCATCACCGATGACACCGAGAGCCTTGACGATCCGGACGAGTCCCGCACAGAGGACGTGTCGTCGGAAATATTTGACGTCTCTCGGGCCGATCTCGGGGTGTGTGAGAGGAGTTCATCCGAGGAAACCTTAAACAACGTAGGGGAGCCTCAGGAGGGCCAGCCGCCAAGCACAGGTCCTGTCAACGGGGGACTATCTTATAAAAGTTTAGGCACTGGTCGTGTCACCCCACACAATTTAGGAGGAAGTGTGCCTGTGCCAGCTACAACTCAGTCTATTGTTCCGAGCTCAGCCACCCATCCGTCGACAGCCACCAGCACAGTTCCTGCTGCCACCGTCTCCACCAGCGTGGCTCACACAGCTCCTGTGAACACCAGCTGTAGTTCCCGTTTCAGGGTCATTAAACTTGACCATGGTACCGGAGAGCCCTTCAGACGGGGCAGGTGGACATGCACTGAGTTCTATGAAAGAGATTCAGATTCAAATGTTAATCGAACTGTGGATAGCATAAAGCCAGCTGTAATCCATGATCACAGTATAGACAGGGACAGTGGGCTAGGGGCCACCAGCAACTCTGTGGTCACTAGCAGTGCTTTTTCTGCACAGGCGTCGGACAACAGCGGGGACAGTGGCCACTCCACCATGCACCCTGCCCACCCCTACCCTCAAGAGCCTCTACAGCCAGGCTACAGCTTGGCTCCTCAGATAGGGAGTGGGGCAAGTGCCTTCCAGCCCACAGGGTACACAACTACAGCATCGCAACAACAGGCTCAGGTCAATATGCAGCCTGTTGCTCCCCAGACCTTCCTCTCTAATAGCCTCAATGGTGTGCACCATGGTGCCATGCACCAGAAGTCTCCCATTATGCCTCCTGCCTCGCAGGCCCAGCAGTATGCCTATTCTACTCATCCTACTGGCCACTCAGCTGGCCAGGCGGACTATCGTCAGCAGCACTTTGTCTCAAGCACTCAGAGCCTTCCCATGTCTGCCCACCCTGTGGGGCATCCAACCAGCCAGGTACCTTCGCCTCTAATCACCCCTGCTGGTCCGGGAGCCCAGGGGCTGGGTGGGGAGGCAGCCACAGCCCAGCCCCTGCAGCCTCTCCTGCTGCAAGTGGGCAACACATCAGCCATGGCACCCATCCCTCCAGGAAGTAGTCAACAGCAGCATGTCAGCATCGCTCCTGCACCTTCCATCGCCACCACCACCTCCCACAGCGGTGTCCAGAACACACCTGCCACAGTGCCCAGTACCACCAACACCCCTCCGGGAGTGCCAAGTCAGGCGCCTGGCACAGGAGGACTCGTCAAGCCTCAAGGAGCCCATGGAGGAGCAACAACAGTCTTCAGTAACCAGGCAGAAGATAGTAGGCAGAAGTCTGATGCCCTACCTCAGCCCGGTGCAGTTGTGGTGCCAGGGAAAGATGGTGTAAAGCCTTTCATCGGCGAGGGCCTCGGCCTGCCCACCCCTGCTGTCAACAGCCTGTTTGGCATCCATATTACCATGGATGTAGATGAGGACAGGTAAGAGAGTATAATGTAAAAAGCCCATGTGAAATGAGTCCACTTTCATGAATGTTGTTTTCTGCTTTTTTTTAAGCTGTGAGCAATCAGTAATGCAGTATTATAGTAACATCAGTTTTCCCCTGAGTCTATGAGCAAAAAGAGTCACAGTCTCTCATACATTGTTGGGGGTAGCAAGTGTGTAATTGGAAGTTTGCCCTCATATTAAACATTCTTGTTGCATTCTACAGCAGTATGGTCATACTCCGCCGCTCCCTTCACCAGTGCCAAAATTAGGCACACTAACTACATGTGTTTAGTTGTACTGTGGTTATGCAAAACACATTTTTTTTAGCTCTATTTGTAAGTGTAAAGTTGTAGATTGAGTGAAAGGGGAGTAGAAGGGTAGTGAAACCTGGCAGAGACAGGAGGAATATTCTGTCTTTGTCATTAATAGGCAGCCCACAAAACACTGGATAGTAACCTGGCTCTTTACACACCCACAGCCCCCTCCTTCAAGCCTCCATTCAACCATACAGGCTGTTTGGGTTTGGGGGGCATTAACAAGCACTTAGATAAGTTACAACACACGCAGTAGCTGTGTTTTGTAGCTGAGAGGGGAATAACTCCCTAAACGTAGGCGGTCTGTTTTTATTCTCCTGTCTGTCTAGGAGAGACGGTTAGTATGCTCGCCCTGGGCAGCGATCCCAGCTTCCCAACTTTATACCTTGTAAATACTGACCCTTCACTTGCCTACAGTACTTTTCTAATGTACACACGGTAGCTATTTTTAGGGTCTGTCGGATGGCCATCACACAGCTTGTGCTGAAGTGTTGCCACTCGTTGCCATTACAAGCAAGAAGAGGAGAGTTGGAGAGGTGATGTTTGAGCCAAGAATGACCTAGATGAGAGCTGTAGTCCACACACACACACACACAGAGGCATAGCCTGCCCTGTATTTATTTTATTTATACCTCAGTGTTTATCAGTGTGCTCTGTTCTGTTCTTCAGTGCTTATTATGAATGGTACAGTCGGACGAGGAGGTGTTTGTGTGTGTACTTTAGGAGGCTGAGGCCTGATTTTTATCACTCATAGTTCAGATATTCCTAAGGCTAATCATTGTTTACCAAGATACTTTATCCCAGCAGCATCACACATACGTTGATTGTGTGTGGAGGGCAGAAACATTGTGTGTTGTCACTGATTTCATGAGAGGAACAGCCAGTGCCTGTTTCCTAGTCATTTCTGTGTGTATTTGTGTGTGTGAGGACTGATATCAGTGGCTGTCTGAGTAGCTATGGTGATGCAGGCAGCAGGACAGTACGTGTCAGGGAGGTGGAGAGGAGACATACACCTGTGGCAGTGATGGCAGGCATGTAAAGCCACCTGTGTATGTGGCAGCGATGACATGGCCAGACCAAATCAGCAGGACGATGTCTGCTTTCTGCTCTGGCTCTCAGTCGTGTCCTTGTCAGGCTTGGCCATGTCCATGTTGACACATGAGCTTAAGGAAGTGTTGACTTGTTGCTGACCTGTTAGGGGTTTAAGCTCTTTTCTTTTTCGTTGTACACTTCCTCATTTTTCAATGAGATTGTAGAGACTTGCACACTTGTCACAAGTATAAAAAAAGTTGTGAAATAGGGTCTCAAGTGGCCACACAGGGATGCTATATATATATATATATTGCGCATTTTAAATCAAATTTAATTTCCATGGTCTACATAAATAATTTGGAGCTAATTTCCATAATATTAAAACAGTTGTTCCCCAAAGGGCTTTTTTTGTTTATCGTCCAATTTGCAATGAAATTACCGCATATCCAGAGGGGCTTCACTCACACTTTTTCTGACAATTGTTCAACAAAATGAGATCAACAGTGTGGGTGAAAGTTGAGTCGACACCAAGCTGAATATTGCTAAACACTTCCCTGAGGGTTTTGCTTGTCGATCACTTTGCACCAAACTTCTGACTACAACCAGAACATGTTGGACAAGAACATTGCAAACAGTGAACCAGAAAAAAAGTGCAGAAATGTACATAAGTTGTTGACCTTTTGTCTTGTTCAAATAAAACTTTGAACAGTCATTTAATTTATAATGAAAACTTTTAAAGTAAAGTAAGACTGGATAAGCACATATTTCCTATTCATACTCCCTAAATAATGAGAATAGGGTAACTGTTTTATTATGTTTCTATATAGATTTTTCCTGCTGCATACATACACTTGTATAAGCATATGTTGAATTATGGTCAACCTCAAAAGATTTGAGTGAGGTTATGGGGCCTAAAAGCAAGTTGGCAGTTATATGCATAATTTTAACTACCATCAGTTGTAATTAAAATGCCTTGTTAACTCATGACTTTCTTGTAAACTTTCTCAGTAAGGACCAAAAAAAGAAAACAAAAAACATAATTCGAGGAACACACCCCAATATAACGGGACACAGATTTTCAAATTTTTGTCAGAGGTGCATTGTTCTGCGCACAAGCTCAGCCTCATAGAGGAATCTGTTCCAGTTTTCATTGTTTGGTTCTGTTTTGAGTTAGAGTCCATCACAAAAGTGGAACAAAGGACTGTGGGTGTGGAGATGAGAGATTAGAGTGATTTCCCCTCAGTTTGGAATGGTTATTCCCCGCTCAGCACGCTGCATCTCTGCCAAATAAAGTGATGAAGACGCCCTTGGGACAAATTGGTTTCCCTCGATAGGAGCACTTGGCCTTTAACTCAATTGCTCACCCCAGGACAGCCCACCCTCCCCTTGCATTGTGTCAGTTAGGAATATATGAATCCATCATAGATACGCTTCTCAAGATAAATGAACAGTGGAGAGATAGTTGAATTTCGTGCACAATTTTCTGTATGTCATTACGTTTTATCCAGAGGCAGTGCATATTAACAGACCTGAAACCAAATGTGAATGAACCATACATCAGTGATGAATTGTATAGATGCAATACACCTTTTTAGGGATAGACCGATATGGATTTTTTAGGGCCGATGCTGATACCGATTTTTTTCCATTACCCTTAGCCGATGACCGATTATGGACTGCCGATTTTCTTGAGCCGATATTTGGGGCCGATACTGTTTAACAGTTAGAGGCTTTGAAAGTTTAAA